ATACCTTTAATCTTTTCAGGCTTTTTGGTTAACCTGGAAGCATCTCTGGCAACAGTAAGCAAGCAAACCATGTTGACTTTGGGCTCGTGTTACAGGTTACCCTTTACTCCAGAAGCCTGTCATGTTTTCATCATCCTTTTTTATGGGCAGTTTCTCAGATAGCCCTTGGCTCCTAGGCCAAGACTGTAGATAGAAGGACCCGAGTCTTGCCGGTTTACAGAGTTGTCCTTTGTATTTTGTCCCTTTTGAGCCTCACTAGAGAGTAGGGAGATAGTTAAAGCAAGCAACAGCCCCATTTTATAGATAAGGTTATAGAGGCAGAGGTGAGGTAAGTGGCTTCCGCATAATCAGAGCCATGGATCTTCATAGAGGATTATTCTGAAAGGAAATGAGTGTTCATGATGTTCAGCAGAGCACAGTCATCTAGCTTTTAATGTTCTGAGTTCACAGAGGTGGGAGAGACCAGACGCTGACCTTGAGGGCTTGACATTCTAGCTCGTGGGGTCTCTTTTTACCACGTACTATTGGGGCAGCAGCACCAGTCCCAAGAAGGAATATCAGAAGGATGAATGCAGATTTTCCACGACTCCTCCTGACCCCATATTTTAGAGGGGAAGAGGTGTGTTATACACAGAGAAGCTTGGATGTTGTGGTGAATTCTCTAGCTGAGAGAGACCTTTGAGCCTTTTTTTAGATGTGGAAATGGAAGCCAGGGAGCCTTCATGACCAGCCAGTTGTTTGGTAGCAGAGAGGGGACTGACTTGCAGCCCTGGTTCCTCTCGTCTTACCTCTAACTTTAAATGTTACATGCCTTGTGAGGGTGGATGAGTGCCAGGTTTGAACATGAGGCTCCTCTTTAATCACAATTTTTTTCCCAAAATTTTTTGTGGTAAAATACATGTAAAATGAAATTGGTCATCTTAACCAGTTTTAACGGTGCAGTTCAGTGACATTAAGTGCATTCACATTGTTGTACAACCATCACCACGATCCATCCATTTCCAGAACTCTTCATCTGGCAAAACCGAAACTCTGTTCTCATTAAGCATGAACCCCGTATTCCTTTCTCTCAGCCTCTAACAACCAGCATCTACTTTCTGTCTGGGGAAGAAAGGTACCAAAGGAATACTCAAGTGAAATGGATTCTTCTTCTTCTCCTCCTCCTCCTCTGTCTTCTCCTTCTTCAAGTTTTTGTGTGTTTCTCTAGGGGTAATGAATATCTAGTTAATTTGTTCTGAAGTGTTTTTCTTTTCACTTGGTCTAAAGTCACAATTCAAGGACAGGTTTTATTTTATTTTTTTTAATTCTGTGTTCAAAGCAGATCCCTTCTTAAAATGATGAGATGTATATAGTGACCCCTTCTCCACAGTAGCTGGGTTCTCCCATTCTGAGCAATACCCTGGGGTTGTAGGGCTTCCCTTATCTCTGTATTACTTCTGAAGCACTAACTCTTGGCCTAGCCTTGCATGTAAACACTCCACTGACTACCCTCTGTTCATCTTTTTTCTTTGCAGAGCTCCCATTGTCATTACCCCTATCTGTTCTGCACTTGATCAGTTCTTAGGCTTCATGGTGGAATTTGGTCCTTTGGCCCAGGTAGCAGCTTAAGCAGTAAGGGAGGAGTCAGGAGTTTCTTTAAAACTAAACAGGAGGTCATATGTGTGCATTTTCTTCCTAATACTATATTGGCTCCTCCCCACAGTATTCATGAGTTTGGCAAGCATTTGTTCCCTGTCTTTTCTGTTAAGTAATTCACAGTCCCTGACTTTACGTTGAGTCTGGTGAGGTGAGACAGATAAACATATAGATGTATTAACCTGTTAGAGGTATAGTCATGGCAGGGTGCTCAGGACACTTTGGGAGTTAGAAGGGGATTAGTCCTACTGGAGGTGGGCCTGGTGTGTAGTGTCAGAAAAGAATTCCTCCAGGAGGTGACCCTTATGCTGAGCCCTGAAAGTGACTGTATTCCGGGCAGGAGGAGCAATCAGGTTTATTTGAATGTCAATCAGTTTGTTGAGGGAGGAGACAGGTGGTCTGTAAGAAAACCTTGCTACCTTAATTTTATCTATTTGAATAGGTAATACATGCACAAGATACAAGGCTTAAGGAGATTAAAGGGGAATACATACAGTGAAAAATGAGTTCTTTTCCTGTTAATCACTCACTTCTCCTCCCTAAAGGCCATCTTTAGCTACTGATTTCTTGTGCATCCTTCCAGAGAGATTTTCCGGGCATACAGGTGTGTCTATGTGTATCCCCTTTAAAAATACATGTGTACTCACAAATGGTTTTCTTCACGTGCTAATTTTGGAAGTCGTTCCATGTATGAGTACAGACTGACCTGCCTTGTTCTCTTCAAACCAGTGCACAGTATTCCATTACATGTGTGTATGACGACTTGTTTAACTTGTCTCACTTCAATCTTTGTCCAGTACAAAGGATGCAGTGAATATCTTACGTCTGTATCATTGCTCATGTGATTTTTGAGGACAGGTTCTCAAAGCAGAACTGATAGGTTAGAGAATGTGTGCATTTTGGGGACAGATGTTGTCAAATTGCCCTCGAAAGAGCTCCACATTAATTATAAAATACTAAATTTAAGATCTTTACCACTTGGTGCCCCCCTGCCCCGCCTCCAAAATCCTTGCCAGAGTGATCTTCCTAAATGAATTTGGTCTCATAACTTCTCTGTTTATAATCCTGTAAGCTCTACATAGTTTTCACTGTAAAGTTTAAATTCCTTAGCTTAGCCCTTAACTCTGCTTCTGCCAAGAGTGCTGTGCTCCCATTGTTCTGTTCCACTTGTATTTGGTACCTTCTTTTTTTCCTTCTTTTTCACTAAACATACGCACTAACAGTCAGCATCATCTCCTCTGGGTAGTCTTTCCTGATGACCTTCACTTGTGCACAGAACATCTAAGCACCATTCTGATCCAGCCTCATCCACTCACTGCAGAAATATTTGTTGTGCACGTGCTGTGATGTGGCACAACCAGGTGTTATTCTCAATGATCCATTGGTTGTTGCCTTGAGGGGATGATGACTATCTGGTAGAGCTACCTGCTGTGAATGAATCCAAAATGGCAGCACCAAAGGGCCTGTTCCTAACTGGGCAAATTCTTTAACCTCTTCTGACCTTGGTTTTGGCATCTGTCGGAGGAGGTGAAGCCTGATGACCTCTAAGGTCTTATTAAGCTCAGGCCTTATTAATAATTACAACAGCAATAGCAGGCCGTGTTTACTGAGGACTTGCAAAGTGCCAGGCACTGCCAAGTGTTTTGTCTGATCCTGATCTTTACATCAAACCTATGAAGATGTATGGTTATTGTTCCCATTTTACAGATGAGGAAGCTGAGGCTAAGAGAATTATTTGGTCACATGGTTATAATAGAGGAAACAGATTTGAATTTCGGCATTCTAACTCGACTGTTCTTAACCACATAAATGTATACACATTCCACATATTTACACACACACAGTTTTGTGTACTGTTTTGGGTCACTTACAGAATCTACCCCCAGACCTCTTCAGGAACCATCCCTTTTCTAGAGCTTTAAAGGCTCAAGTTGGAGCCTGGGTGAAAGCTGTGGACAGAAGACTGCTATAGTCACAGCTCTTTGGGGTAGTGAGTAAGGTTAGCTCTGTTCTTGAACCCCTGGCTCATGCTCATTGAAGACCTTCATAGTTGCTTTTCCTTCATACTGAGACAACTCATGTTGCTGTTTGCAGTCACTCTCTTTAGCAGGGGATGCAGGCCTGAGTCAAGGCTTCAGACACAGATGGAAGGCAGGGCTGGTTAATATCTCTGGCAGAATCGCAGGGGCACCCTTTATTAGCGTTGTCAATGGCAGGCTCCCTTATCTATTTACATAAAGCCTTATTTATGGAGAAGGAGGTGTGTGTATGGAATTTAAAAAGGGACTGTAATCTTATTTGGAATACCTGTTATAAACAAGGATCAATGAAATCAGATGAGTTAACTAAAATATAATAGGCCTATATCAAAATGTATCTTCAACTTCTCTGAAGGCATGTAGAAAATAATCCCTAAAAGTCTTGACCCCTGATTTTTTTTTTTTTTTTTTTAAGACTCTGGTTCCTAGATCAGATGAGATTGGGCGTGTTCAGGGTGGGATGGCCGTGGACTCTGATTCCTAGTCGTCTGAAGTCATAGTCTGAACTAGAGGCGGGGGCGGGGGCAGTTAACAATTACAGTCCGTCCTCCCCCTAGTCGGTGTCAGGTACCGTCAACAGGTGTGGCCTCTGGGGTCACAGGTGTGTCAGGTGAGCCTGGATTAATTGGTCCGTTTTTGAGGTTCGCGGCTGTGCAGTCAGCGTCACATCCTCAGGGGCTCATCCTGCCTCTGGCAGTTGAGCAAGCCTAGCCATGGGCCCTTGCCTCCTGCTGCTGCATTCCTTCTCTAGGCGGTGTATTTCTCCCTTTAAGACACATGTTCCCTATTTTTTTTTCCCTTTCGGTTGGTTGAACTCGCTCTGAGTCCAAGTGGCCAAGGCAAAGCCTGACTCGGGTGTAGCTCTCTGTCAACAGCTGCCTCTCTCCTGCTCTGTGTTGGAGGCTTGGAGGTGGTGGGGCAGAGCCCGGGCAACTTCTGAAAGCTCTGTGGTGCCTGACAGATCTCCAGGTGAGCCTGCGCTTGTCTCCTTGCCCTGTCGCAAGGATCTGGCTCCTGGATGTGGATGCTGATGGCAGCTTGCTGCAGGCCTCGGCATTTCCCCAGATACACGTTGAAAAGCCACTTACGTGCCTGTCCTTTCTTGGCAGCAGGAATTCATTTACTGGAATTCTTTCAACTTTGTATGTGATTATAGCTTCCTTACCAAAGTGCCTACTTGCAACAAACTTATGGCTGAAGTTTTCACTTATGTCTTTGTTTTTTTGTTGTCCTGTTTTTTTTTTTATAGGTAAATCTACCCGTGGCTGACTTTAGAGTTCTTACTTCTGGCTTTTAAATTTTTTCTTTTTAAAATAACTTGGACAGATAAAAGATGTGCCATGGCAGGATAGCACCAAAGAGCACCGCAGCGTTGGCCGTGGCCTCCGCGGGACATGGAGTGTTCCTTCCACTGGTGATCCTTAGCACCCTCCTTGGAGACAGCCTTGCCTCAGGTGGGTTCGGGCCTGCCTCTCTGTGGGGGGAGGGAAAAGACTCGTCCCATTGTTTCTCCCAAAGCCGGGATAGGGGACTCTCCTATCTAGCAGCCAGTTGCAGCGAGAGCAGAGAGGGGTGGTGGGCTTTTGTGCTGTGGAATAGCAGGGGACCAGTCCTGGGGGTATGGCAGTAAGGGGCCTCCTGAGCCAGCTGGAGGGAGGGGTGTGTATGAACATGCTGGGGATGACGTTATCGGCCCTCTCCCCACAGCTGGAGTCACCAGGTAGGATGGAGCTGTAGGGTTCAGAGCATGATAGGCAGCAAGGGTGCAGGTTTGGGAATCAGACTGCCCGTGTTCTGAGTCCAGTGCTCCTGTTGCTGGCTCTGGGACCGAGCAAATCTCACTTCTGTAAGCCTTCATTTCCTCAGCCCCAGAATGGGATAATACTAGTACCTACCTGGGAGGGTGGTTCTGAAGATTGTCTAACACAATAGGTGCTTCATGATTGTTAGCTTTTTTTGTTTGTTCCTTGTCTTTTTATGTTTTCCCTCAGAATAAGTAGAGTTGAGGTATTGTAATTTAGTGAAAGCAGGACCTGGTCACTGACACTCTAAACTTCGTGATCTTGGGCAAGCCACTTAGCCATTCCGTGGCTCAGTTTCTCCATTTATCAAATGAAGGGGTTGACCTGGATACGTTTAAGGTCATATCCAGTTCCCTTTGTCTATATTTTCATGATTCTAAGGACTTTCTGATTGAAGCTGGTGAGCTGCAAGAGCCCTAGCAGGAGCTAGAAATGCAGCCGTGAGCCTTTTTGAGTTTGTATGATCCTTATTGCCTTCCACAGTGCTCTGAAGACCCTTCTAGGTTCTCTTCATGTGGTCCTCTAGACCTGGCGTTCTTTTAGGAAGGGGCATATTTGGGTGTGTACCGTAGGCCTCTGGCTGATGCTAGAGAACCTCTGTAGAGCCTCTGTATCTGTGAGCACCAATAGGGCTCTCAACTGATTATGATTTTTAAAAAAGATTTTATGTATGTATTTATTTGAGAGAGAGAGAGCATGCACACACACAAGTGGGGGCAGAGCAGAGGGACAGGGACAAGCAGACTCTGTGCTGAGTGGGGAGCCTGATGCGGGACCCGATCCCACAACCCTGAGATCACGACCTGAGCTGAAATCAAGAGTCGGACTGAGCCACATGTACCCTTCAGCTATCATGATTGAACTCAACAGTAATGCGGCCCCTACCAGACTTCATTAGATACATAAGGTGGCAGTTTTCTTTGGACAGCGTTCCCTGGAGAGGGATCTTAGCTAGATTCTGGAAAGGGACTTGAAGGATGGGGGCAGTGTGGTATATTGCGGTGTATAGAGTCCCCATAGCTCAGTGCTCTCTCTCATTCTCTGTCAACTCCCACCACCCACTTACCTAACACATACAGATCATGGTGCAATGAACTGCTGGGAGAAATAGTTACGCACTTGTTTTTGCATTATAGCCTTCTCCACCACCCACGTACAGATTTCCTCTTCTACTGCCTCCTCTTCACCCTGTTCTGACACTTAAACCTTTCCCATAAAGCCTAAGACCTCTTTGGCTGTGAGGAGCTTCTAGCATAGCCAAGGAGGCCATTAATGATTGGGACCCCACAGTATGGGCATTGTGGCTATATGAAGTTCCAAAGGAAACGAAGGCCAGAACCTACCAATGTACAAGCAGATGAAGCAGGGCTTACATTCACAGGGCTTGCAGCACAGCCAGAGGTGGTCTCCAGAAGTGGTAGTCACAGAGCCACAGGATGTAAAGACCCTGTCTTGTTCACCACTGTATCTCTAGAGCAGAAGTTGGCAAGCTGTGGTCCCTGGACCAAATCCTCCCTGTATGGCCCGTGAGCCAAGAATGGTTTTATATTTTTAATTGATCGGAAAGAAAATCAAAATATTTCATGATACAGAAAAATTGTAAGTTCACATTACAGTGTCCATAAATAAAGTTTTATTGGAACATAGCAATGTTCATTCATATATATTTTGTCTGTGGTTGTGTTTGTGTTAGAGTGGCAGTGTTGGGTAGTTGTGACATAGACTGTGTTGCCCCCAAAGCCTAAAATAATTCATTTGGCCCTTTATACAAGAGGTTTGCCACCCTACCCCTAGCCCAGAACAAATGGTTCTCAATAAGGATGTGCATGAATGGAATGACTGTCAGAGCTAGGATTTTAGAGGTCATATACTTGCCTAGGGTCCTGGGGCTAGGACCAGAACCTGGCTTAGTGCCTGATACACTACCAAGACTGCCTTCTTCCCAGGCTCCACTAGGGAAGCTGTCCCATTGTGTGACCTGGCAATATTAGGGCAGAACATCTGCCTTTGGTTTCTGAAGTCTTTAGCCTCTTTAGCTTCATTGAGCCATTCCACCTACTGCCACCCTCCTTTTTTATGGGCTCCACCTCTGCCTCCTCCCATCTCCCACCCCATTTTCCAACTACCCACACCTTCCCAACTTTCCATCCAAGGTCTGAATTCAATTATCAGGGACTGATGGTTTCAGACTGGCTGGATAAAGGGATTATTATTCTCCAGTGTGGAAAAATATATGTCTGTAGTGTGGGCTCAGAGCAGGATGGAAAAGTTGGCTCTGTAGTTTTTTTCCCTCCCCCATCTGTACAGAATCCTCCCTCCCCTGCCACCCTCACCCCCCCTCCCCCCCGCCAAGTCTTTTCTACTCCCCGTAAAACGTGTACTGGCGCAGAGCAGGATGCAGGCAGGGGAGGGGGTGGTCCCATTACTTAGATCCAGTGCACCACGTTGCTGCCAGTGTGTTTCCCTCTCTGAAGTGGCTTCTCAGGGAAGGAGGCACCCACTCCTTGGCCTGAAACCTGAGCACACCTGTTTGGCTGTGCCTGCCATAAGCAGCTTGCGAGACAGGCTTGCCAAAAAACCAAGACTTTCAGATACTCTGAAGTCGAGGAAAGGCAGTTCAGTTCAGGAAAGGTCCCCTTTTCCTCTTGGTGCATATCTTACCTGCTCCTGTAGCTGCACCTGAACACCCACTCCAGAACATTTTAAAAGGAGGTGTTTGTAAAATACACAGCCTTTGTTACCCAGTGGGCTCTACTAGACCTTGAATGTGCTTGTGTGTGCATGCACACTTGTGCCTGGGAGAATCCCACTGGACGTAGTTAAGTGGGCATCTTGTAGGGGGGCAATTCATCTGTATCGTCTCTGGTTATAAATACCACAGTCACCCTTAGTCTTGGTCATAATTGCTCAGGTGTAGAAGAAAATAATCATGTAGGAACAGGCACTAGAGAGTTCTGGTGCAGAGTTGTGCCATGATCGAGGTTTAGTTTTCCATCTTGGTTTCAAGAGGCAGTAGGTCCAGCTTCCCTCTTGGTCATTCTTTAAACAGAGATGGAGAAAATTATTGAAAGTTTTCCTTTTGGGGCGTGGCAAAAAGAAGCATATCTTACCTTCACACCTGGTTCACACCATGCAGGCAGAAGATGAGAATTAAAAATAAAATCTATGTGCAGAGTACCCAGCGTGCCTCTCTTTTTGGGCTAGAGAGGAATTAGGGTCCCAACTATGTAGCAGCCACTCCCAGATCTCACAACTCCTTCCTTTTACCTGTGATTTTAAAAAAATATATTTATTTATTTGAGAAAGAGAGAGAGCATGAGGAGCAAGGAGGATCAGAGAGAGAGGGAGAAGCAGACTCCCTGCTGAGCAGGGAGCCCAGTGCAGGGCTCCATCCCAGACCCTGGGATCATGACCTGAGCTGAAGGCAGACTCCTAACTGACTGAACTACCTAGGCGCCTTTACCTATGATCTTAAGAAACTTGCTTTATTAAAAAAAAAAAAAAAGAAAAGAAAAAAAGAAAAGAAACATGCCTTATAACCTTAGGCAAATCACTTGACCTCTTTGTGTCTCCTTCAAAACGGAAACAAAATCCTTAAGGATGTGAGGTTGGTGTTGTGTAGACTAATAAAAATGATTGGAGGGCACTTGGCATATAAAATGTGTGGTGTAATTCCTATATAATGACAACAACAGAGTTGGTACATGACCCACTGTTGAGTCATGCTGGGCAGGAGATTTTTATGCAGATGACATCCTTTGCTGTCTTTAAAAAAATAAAACTAAAGATGCAAAGTCATTTTTTGTGTTGAGGATAAGGAAGTGGGACCAGGTGTCTGACTTGACCAGTTGAGGAAGGATTGGTTACTTCTGGAAACCCCTTCGCCTTCCAGAAAGCTCATGTTTGCATAGTGTGATGGTCTCCACCCGGCCACTTGCTGACTCATGTAAAAAGCTTTTGATTTTCATTCTCTCCCTTTCCTGAGGATATTTACTGAAAAAACAAAACAAAACTATTTTATTTGTTTCTGATTTTTTTTAAGATTTTATTTTGAGAGAGAGAGAGAGAGCACACACGAGCTAGGAGGAGGAGCAGAGGGAGAGGGAGAAGCACACTTCCTGCCGAGCAAGGAGCCGGATGTGGGGCTTGATCCCAGGACCCTGGGATCATAACCCGAGCCAGAGGCAGACGTTTAACCCACTGAGCCACCTAGGTGCCCCTGTTTCTGATTTTTTTCCCCTTAAAGTGTTTCCATGACACTATAGGCTATGTTAAACATCACACAAGCACCTAAAGCAATTTTAAAATAGCAGGGAAAGCAGCCATTTACATTTCTATGCAGCAGAGTGAGAAAGCCTGGCAGTTAGTGTTCATCAAAGATGGAAAATGTTGAGAACAAGGTGCTCAGGGGTATGATGCGGCTTTGGCCCTTGAATTTGCTGTGGCTGGGAGATGTTGGCAGGTGGCCCTGGCTCACCTTGCCATCTCTGAAGGGACCTGGGGTCAGAGATAATGTACAGTGAGCTGAGAGGAGAGGACAGGCAGGAAGCTGATGCATATAGAGCATCATTTATATGTCAGGCTCTCTGTGTATCATCCCATTTAAAGCTCTCAGAAAGGCTGTGCACTAGGTGGTCATGTAACCATTTTAC